TTTAAAACATAATGCTTGAATTTCTAATGCTGGAAAGATTGGTGTAACTTCCTCATTATGTATTTCTTGTAGCTTCAAAATACTAGTAGTAATAGAGAAGTGGTTACAATTATTATCCCTTACTTTATATTCATTTTATTTCTTTCATCCAATTTCTTTCAAATAAGGAGCCTGGTTCCAGATGTAAACCTGATAACTACAATTTCTTATTTTCATGAAAACCTATTCCTGACAATGTCTTGGAACTTGGGAAAATGCAGAATTTAGGTTTCTTCTATAATAGAAAATCCTTACATGCTTTATAATGAGGTATCCAGATTATGTCTTAAATTATTAAAATAGCAAAACTCTCTAGAACTTTGGGTTGATCGTTTGTTATTATATTAAACAAACCATGAAAGTGTACATTGATATTTTTTATTGCCATGAAAACATAAATGGAAAGTGTGTGTGTGTCAGTATGATGTGAGAGAGTTGGGTGAAATATCTGAGAGTCAAATTATTTTTTTTCTGTAGTAGACTTGTCTGATAGGAATGCAGTGGATCTTCTTTTATAGTGGAAAGGATTATTGTCATGTTTTTGTCCTATGTGGTGCAAGCATATTAGACAACACATGGAAGACAGAGATGACAAGAAATCACTTCACAAAACACATTAGAGGTCTCAAAGCGTTGAGTTCATTTGATGAATTTTTCAAGAGCTGGCTGCTTTTTAAAGAAATTTATATCAGCGTGTTTGATTAACTATTAAAGAGTTGAGTTTTGACAGATTTACAACCAAAAGGAAAAGACCCAAGTGATCTGGTGGGTTTTTAAAGCGATTAGAAGTAAGACGCCAGTGATCATACCCTCCTTATCTTTGATAATTTGTTTCATTTAGGGCCATTGAAAATTTAAATCCATGCATGTTCACACTGGATAACAGAATGACAACAGCTGTTTCTTATTTAATCAAAGGATACTCTAAGAATTTCTAAGTTCAATATCTAGTATTTAGCTTCCAAAGTTTAGTAACATATGTATTTCATATCTATTTGTGAATGATACCATGTAAAGGTGATTTATGTAGACATTAGACCGCTGACAGAGTCACAGTGGAATGAAAAGATAGCAATGCGAATTGGCAGAGGAAGGGGAAAGAAACTAAGGGGTGAAAACCACAAACTCCAATGAAAAATTACATATAAACAGCAAAGGGGCATGATGTCACATCAGAATGTTTGAGGTCAACTGGAATGAGATGAGAGTCTCATGACTTCTAGAAGATAGAGCCAATGATTGGCCCATCAGTTCAGAGCACACACTGCTCTGGTAGAGGACTAACTTATATCTTGTAAGAGAAATGAATCAGTTGAACATAGGGTGAGAGCTATGATTTACTTGACAAGTGAGTAGCTATAGACGGCCTAAGTGATCATAAACAACAACTGCCAACAGCATAGCAGGGAAAGCAGTAGCTGTAAAAACTGGGTCATCTCCATGCACATTAAAATTACCAAATCTATATGAGAAAGTGTCAAGACTGTGCATTCAGGATCATTTGAATATTTATCATGATACAAGTCTCTCCATATGTAATCATTCCTTTATAATATCCATATTAGAAAAATGTAGAGCGCAATAAAAATCAATAAAAAATCCGTTAGAAATGTATAACATTTAGTCTGCATTTTAGAAATATAAAATTTGGAATATAAAGTAATACAAAACTGATATTTAATGTTATGTCCTAGCCATATTTCTTTAGATTTCTTTTCAAACTACATAACTTCCAAAATGCTGCTGTAAGACAAGCTTGATATGCAAATTGGTAAATCCATATGTTAATTGTCATACCATATGGAGACAATGTTAGTTCTAGTGTAACTAATAGGAAGACCAGACGTATAATAACTATGAAAGTAAAACAAAAGGTGATGGTGTTTTTCTGACATATATTAATATGAGATACTGGGTTAGAAAGGTAAAAAAAAAATCTGAAAAAAATCGCATTTTGCTGCTAATGGATAGTTACTTATTTTAAGACATTGACATTTAAAAAATGAAACAACTTTCGATTCAGTTACAGGCTGAGTCTAATTTTTCACATAAATTCTAGACCTCAGGCTAAACACATGACTTCAGAATTTCCGTCAAGAGTTCCCGATTAACTCTGTGTCACTGGGATGTCAAACTGCATGAGAGGTCAGGGAAATCCTTCTGAGTTGGAAACTGCTTGGAGCCATTTTCCCGAACCTCGGGAAATAACTGCTTTTATAGGTGACAGGGATGCCAGGTGGGCTTAAATGTTTAGAATCGGGGTTAACGAATGTCAGCAAAAATAGCATCGGGCAGATAATACATCTCATAGCCAAAGGATTATTAAAAGTGCTCACATGGCATGCGAGGGCACATCTAATCCCTCAAACCGCAGTCTTCCTGATGCTGAAGCTGAGACCAGCTTTCGCATGTGCCTGTTACAGGGCGAACTGCTGACAGTTCTCGTCTTAGCCAAGTTCAGTGGCCTATTAGCCACTTCTGTAATTGCCCTGTAGAGCACTCTGGGAAAATCCTATCTCATTAAATATGTCAAGCTCTCATTATTTGAAAGGACAATTATAATATATTACAATGTACTCTGCAGATGAATGGATTCATCACTAGGTAAATGTATGCTGTTCTTCCTTTGGTCCTTGGAGCTGCAGATTGAGCTGGAGCCTTGCATATGCCGTAAATCCCCTTCCACTGAGCTTCTCCGTGGCCCCTAAATGTTTACATTTTTAGGTCATGTGTAGCTGGGTTCTCAGAAAATGAACAAAGAGGATAGGCAGACAGTCAGAGAAATAAATAGGATCTATAAAATATGAGGACACTCTTTCATAAATGTACATGTTAGACAGCAGGTTTATCAGGAATTCTGTTTCATTTCTAGGCTCTTTATTTCAACTTGTTTATGGAATCAACTTGAGCATTCCAAAGCAACTTAAATTTTCTCCTGATGATGTAGGACATATATATATATAGCTAAGAAAACATTGGTAAATTTTCTTTATTTTAAGACCTAGTAAAAACCTGAAAGATATTTTGTGTGCTTTAAACTAGGTACATGAAAAGGTATATTAAACAAATATGTGTCATATCTATCATGGGACACATTGTATTATCAAATATCAATAACAGAAGTTGGTGTCATAGTTTCCTTATAGAGTGAAATTCAATTAATATTTCATCTCATAGGCTATGTTGCTTTTTGGTTCATTGATTCAACCAACACAAATTAAAGCAACTATTATGCACCATGTAGATATTATAGGTATACAGGCTAATGAGACCTTATAGGTTCGAATAAAGTCTGTACTACAAATCTGAAACTAGTCAAACTCTAGAGATTTTAATTAAGCATAGCTGTTTACAAAAATGTCCAAACAATGTAGGTATTGTTTTCAGATCTTCTCAAATAAAAGTCATCAGTCTAGACTACAATCAAGGATCTGAAATTCACAGGCCAAAACCTTTTATGCTACACAGAAACAAGTTTTACTTAGAAACCATGAGTGCTTTGATGTGAATAGCTGGATTAATAGGAAGTTACTCTTACTGACATTTAGCCATCATCGTCAGATGTTTCCTTCCAGATTTCTGCAGAAGCAGAAGAATGATGTCTGGTTTGTTCATGTCTTCCTTTCTGCCATCTTAGCATCTATCTCCATATTTTATCCATATGAATAGCTAAAACTCATAAAATAGTGTAAATCTCAATTGACTTGCACACTATTTACATAACTTTAAGTGTCAAATAAATTCTTTCGCTGAAAAGTCTAGATATTTCAAAAACCTTAATTATTTAAGAAACTTTGTGATAAAAAGTTTAATTATATTTGTATGTACTTGTTAATTTCTTTGTGTTTGCATATGTATGCATACATATGGGTGAGCATGTGCCATGGCACATGTGTAGATAGAAGTCAGATTACAATTGTACCAGTCAGTTCTTTGCATCTACATAGTGAGTCCCAGGGATTGAGGTGGTTAGCGTTGGCAACAAGTGTCTTTATCCAAAGGACCATCTCAAAAAGAAAAAAAAGAATGAAATTACTTCCAAGTTTTAAAAAAGGCAAAACCTACAAGAATTTTACTTAATTTATAGAATTTTGAAAATAATCTCTTGTAGGTTAGTTAGCAAATTCTAATTAGAAACATGAAGTTGCCATATTTTAAGGATATTAGTTTTAGTGGTGAATTCTTCTGTGATATTTAATTAGGAGGCTACATTTGTATATTTGAAATATTCTTTTCTTCATTCTAATCTCAAAGGGAATACATAGAGTACACTAAGCTATTCTGTTACATATTCACCTGGACCTCAGTCCTGATTTTATTTTTTTAATATAAACTTTCTAAGCCAGTGATTAGACACACTTTTGATTCTATCTATAGCATATTATCTGCTTCTTGCTCCCTAGATTTCACAACATCTTCTGATTATAACTTTTTCCCACAATTCCATTATGGATTTCTTAATGTCACTCAAAATAAACCACCCTCCCTGTATTTTAGAGTAGAAAACACTGTCTCCTATTTGAAGTCAAAGCCTTCATTGTTTTAAAACATTTACAGTTTTATGAGTGGGCATAGTCTAGTGCCAGATGGTAAGACCCGAAAACATACGTTCAACGAACAGTATATGGATTGACCAGGCTATCTTTAGGAATATGTATGTATAATGTGAAAAAGAGGCCAAGAATTTGAAGGAGAATAGAGAGAGGTATACGGAAGCTTTGGAGGATAGAAAGGCAAAGGAGAATTGTAATTATAGTAAGCTCAAAAATAAAATTTAAAAATGAAAATTAGTAATAGGATGGTTTTAATAGCCAAATGAATTTCCTGATAAATAGAAAATGGATGCTTCTAATCATTGGCTACTAACATGAGGCTTTTTTAGTTGTTTGAGGCATTCAAAACTTGGAAAAGAACCTTACCAATCAAGTTACCAATCAAGTCGTTCTCCCTTTTCTTTACAGAGATTTGCCTGCTAACCAAGGGCCGGCGCACTGCCAGTGTTCGAGCGGATACATACTGCCGTCTTTACTCCCTTTCGGTGGACAATTTCAATGAGGTCTTGGAGGAATATCCAATGATGAGAAGAGCTTTTGAGACAGTGGCTATTGACCGACTCGATCGGATAGGTACTCTTAGCTTTCACCTTTCCTCAAGCAGGATTTCATTTTAGTTTCGAATTCTAACGCATAGATCCCTTGTTAATTCGTGTGGGAAAAAAGCATACAGCTGTGTAGAGAATAGTTGTTTAGAAAGACCTCAGGTCGTTTCTGCTCCTCTAAGTGCCCTGGATTGATTTGTTCATGTCTGTTTTCACGAGCTATGCAATCTGATAGCCCAACTTCAGTTTGAATCATCAGGTAAAAAGCACTGGTACAAATTCCAGATAGCATTAAAAAACTATTAAAAGTCAATACCACGAGTCTCTATTGCATTCTAAATTTTACCATAATGTTCTTTTTATCTTCAGGGGCCAGTTTTACATTTTATACTTATATGAAAAATTGAAAACTTACACAATTAAACTGGTCTCAGCCGAAACATCAAAATGTTTGTAATACAGACTCAAACAGAATAAGCCTTTTCTGGACATACCTTACATAGAGGTTTACATTGCAAACATCAATGCTGTGAAATACTTTGTGCTACAAAACAAAAATATGTTAAATAGAACTTATTAGTTATGCTAAAGATTTGCGTAGTTTCTCCCAGCAAAGTAGAACCATGTTGTCTTGCTGTGAAATTCATTAGCTATCCTGGAATATGCTGAGAAGATAGTTTGAGTTCTTTCTTCAAGTTTTAACCCTTTTTAACCTTTCCTTCCCCTCTTACTTTGAGTAGTTCTGCCCTAGATTCATAATCCAGCTTAACTACTCTTCCCTGTAGAAACCTTTCCTTGTTTCTCTCCACATACCAGGAAGAACTGCCTTAATATAGTCTCAGATAGTCTCCTACATTCCATGTCACAGCACTGCCTTTGTTATAGTAACTGTTCTTAAAAAATACTAAACTATGAAACTTTATGAATGGAGAAAGCATCTTGAACTCACCATTATATTTGCAATATCTGGTCCACAATGCATGTATGTTGAAGAGGGGGGAAGGAAGAGGGAATAAATACTCCTGAAGCAGATGGAGTTGGGGAAAGTTAAAAGTAAAGAAAAGGTGTCTCCAGATCTTCATTCTTAAAAAGGTAAGGTCTTCCTTTTTTATGACAGCCTCTCACTCCTCGTTCCCTTTATATAGCACAGAGAGAAAGATTTTAAGGGTCAAAAACAGGTGAGGTAAAGTAAAAGGACTGTGTGGACAGTATCACAGGGCACAACAACCATAACAGAAGTTCATATGGATAACTTTGTTAATTCACCGGGCTTAGTCATCCAGGGAGATGGCACCCATGCAATAAGTAGACATTCCTAAGAGCTGTATTTGAAGGCAACCTCAATTTGCTATGTTAGTGTTCATGTTAGACACAGAGACTAACTTCTTAGTATTTTTGACCCTGATAAAACTCTAACGGTTCTTTATGAAAATGTATATCAAAAACAGTATCAGATTCAGCAACCTGGGTCTGATCTGAGGGATTGCCTTTCTACGGGAACCCAGATGATTAAAAGGAAGTCAATTAGTCACCAGGAGCAAGGGTTCACAGTCAGAGTTCCTTCCTTTTTCACAGCCTCTTCCCTCTCCAACTCAGACTTCTAAGCAACAATCTTAACCTTCCCATGTTATAAATGCGATGAAGACAACTGCTTCCCAATCTGGACCCTGGCGTAAATGGTTCTATCTAAAGCCTTTCGTTGACGGTGTGTCCCAGAGCAGATGTCCAATGTGGCCACTCATTTCCCATTGCCTCACCTTGTAGACACAACTCGAAATTAAAATAATGGTTCAACTCCTCAAATTTCGCTCCTGTTAAACGTGTACATTTCTTCTAGGAAGCATCTTTCCTTTTGCCATCTTTAGTCTTTCTATTTCCCTAGTTCTAAGCAGATGCAACACTATTCACGAGGCAGATGTTTCACTTCTGTTTGGCGATGACAGGTTAAGTTCTCGACTTTTAAACCCGTGGGTCCTAACGCTGACATACATCACCCTGGAGTAGCCAGTCTCTTGTGGCATTTTTAGTTCCTTTCAGTCTGTCTAAGTGCCTATTTTTCCTTTGCTGATAGGCAAGAAAAACTCCATTCTCCTTCAGAAGTTCCAGAAGGATCTGAACACTGGTGTTTTCAACAATCAGGAGAACGAGATCCTCAAGCAGATTGTGAAACACGACAGAGAGATGGTCCAGGCTATCCCTCCGATCAACTACCCTCAGATGACCGCCCTGAACTGCACATCATCAACCACCACCCCAACCTCCCGCATGAGGACACAGTCTCCACCCGTCTATACCGCGACCAGCCTGTCTCACAGCAACCTGCACTCGCCCAGCCCCAGCACACAGACGCCCCAACCCTCGGCCATCCTCTCGCCCTGCTCCTACACCACAGCAGTCTGCAGTCCTCCTGTACAGAGCCCCCTGGCCACACGAACTTTCCACTATGCCTCTCCCACAGCCTCCCAGCTGTCGCTCATGCAGCAGCCTCAGCAGCTACAGCAGTCTCAGGCACCGCAGACTCAGCCACCGCCACCACCCCAGCAACAGCAGCAACAGCAACAACAGCCACAGACACCTGGGAGCTCCACCCCGAAAAATGAAGTGCATAAGAGCACGCAGGCACTTCATAACACCAACCTGACCAGAGAAGTCAGGCCCCTCTCGGCTTCGCAGCCCTCGCTGCCACATGAGGTGTCCACTATGATCTCCAGACCTCATCCCACTGTGGGCGAGTCCTTGGCCTCCATCCCTCAGCCCGTGGCAGCTGTCCACAGCACGGGCCTTCAGGCAGGGGGCAGGAGCACAGTGCCACAACGTGTCACCTTGTTCCGACAGATGTCCTCGGGAGCCATTCCCCCTAACCGAGGAGTGCCTCCGGCACCCCCACCACCAGCAGCTGTGCAGAGAGAATCTCCCTCAGTCTTAAACACAGACCCAGATACAGAAAAACCACGTTTCGCTTCAAATTTATGATTCTTGCTGATTGTCAAAACAGAAAAGAAATACTCTAGGAAACAGAATATTCCCAGATATTATTTTATTCTATCTCATGATAGAGCCCTATAGCCTACTCTGAAAAGATATTTTAGACAGCTCTGGCCTACATGCAAATGTAAAAAAAAACATATATACATATACAATTAAATATATATCACTATATATAAATGCCCAAGAGAAGTTCTAAAGACTTGTATAGCATTCAGTGTTACATGTCTTCCTTTCTTTAAATCCATTAAAGGATTAAACACGTTGTTGTAAGATCATTGATTTCTAACATACTTTTACTTAATTCCTTTGATATGTGTATTCCTCTCTTTTATGAAGAGTTCTTGGGGTCGATGGCATCAAAACTCGAGTTTTCAAAAGGCAACTCCCATTAGTTCCAAAGCAGCACCAATCAACGCTTTCTTTCGTTAGCTGTGCCTCTGCATCCAAATTATTGATTATGCAGGATGAAAATAACCAAATCCCAGTTTATAGCTCTAAAGTGTATTTTGGTGCTTTCAATTTTGATTTAGGTGAACAAACACACACTACATGCTCAGCCACCACAGGAGACAAAACATTGCCATGGCAAAGGTTTTTTCTGACCTCAGACGTGGCCATTGATTCGGCAGGAAGGGTGAGGAGGTAGTTGTCCTCATGTGTTACTGGACTTTTACCAAGACTCAGTCGACGTTAATTGTAAATAACTTTCCAACCCAAGTAAAAGTAACTACCTGTGTTGTGTAGAGGTAAAAGTCACTCACTGTTTAGAATTCAGTTTTATGGCTTCACTTCAAAACTGAAGAGTTTTACATTTCACAAAACCGAATAATTGTGATAATTGTTCAACTGTAAAGCAATGGCTTCAGACCTACAATATTATTTTAACCTGCAATAATAGTTTATGCAAATTGTATGCTTGGATCTACAAATTGCTTGTATTACACCAAAAATTATTACTTTTCTTCCTTATTGACATAATCAAGCATCTGAAACTAGTCCTGGCATGCTTTTGGGGGCAAAAAAAAAAAAAAGTAGATTCCAATCAGTAATTGTAAGAAAAGGCTTACAGTATTTCTCACTTCTAGAGGATATAACAATTCCTTAATTGTGTCTTTTAAAATTCTTAAAAGGCTGACTTGGATCTCTGACTTAAATCTAGAAGTGAGGTTTTTCACTTTAATTTAATATTATCGCTGTTACTATCATTTAAACAATTATTTGCAAATCACAGCTTGGTTTGGAGTTAACTATGTTTTGTGTCTTCATGTTAGTTGGTAGTTTATTGTGATATTAATGTGAAGAAATAAATATAATATATCATCACATCTGTTTGGAAATGCACATTTGCCCTCTATATATTGTAACTAAGCTGTTAGTAAATCTTAAGGCATGTGGAAACCAACATAGTCCTTAGACAGACAGGAGATTTGTTCTTTCAAATGTGCTGGACATAGTGTGACTGCGGCGACAGGAAGCAGGGGTGAAGTTGATCTGTCTGTAAGCATTGTTTGTTTGTTCCTTTGTTTCCTTAATTCTTTCCATGAGCATCAGCCTCTTAGAGAGCACCTGGGCTTACTGCGTCCCACACATTTGGAGTATGATTGGACCACAATGGGAGGATTTTTAATGTCTGACTTCTGTAAATAACTCAAGAGTGTGACCTGAAGTGGAGGTCTTTAGTAGTACAGGCATGGATGGTCCACTTAAGAACTTAAAATCTACACATTCTGATGGCACAGGGCCTCTAGATAGACTTGAGGACCGGAAACTAAAGCAGAAGCAATGGTTATAAAGTGGATCCATTTTTGCCTGTTATGCCTTTTATGGATCTAACCCCTATAAAACCAAAAAGAGTTGTTATGATTAATTGCTAACAGATCCTAATTTGTATGGAAACAATGTACAATGCTAGGCAATGCAATGTTATTCATTACTGACATGGTGATGACCAATGACAGCCTGTTGGGAATGATGTCAAAGAGATCATTCAGCCTACCTAGAATCTATGGGAAAGTTACAAGACCATTTATGTATCAGTACAAAACTCCTCTATTTTATTAAAATATAAAGATTAGCATCAATATATTAAGATCATGCACTAGTCCTTTAAATTATTAAAGGCCTACATTTGACAGAATTAATGGGTTTGTTAGTAATATATTTTTTATACATAAAACTTTTTGAGCACCATGGAAACATCACCAAGACTAAACTGCATGATCATTCAGTGGAACCATAAAAATTTTTATTCATTTTGTACGAGAATGGACAAAGAAGTCTAAGGTTTATATGCTAAGCTAACAAAATGGTACAGGGTAAATTAAATATACATATGTACGAATGTGTATTTATATACACATATTTAGATTAAGGAGAAAGTGATTCACATTCCTGTAATATAAAGGAACAGTGCTAGGTGAACATGACTTTTTTTTTCTCTGTACATATAAGCTCAAGTTTGGAGTTTTAATCTGTACAGAAAGAACTGAACTATTGATCTTTTGCTGCTGAGAAGATGAAGAAAATGCTAATCTTGCCATTGTATGACCAGGGAAGAGTTAGAATATGTCTTTTGTCTTTGCTCAAAGCCATACATATAAATATATATAAAGATTATTAATAAATCCAACAAAAAATAAACTAAAATTATGAATATTTTATTTTATTGCTATACTCTAATCAAATGTTTCTCTTTGTTGATTAATATAGATTTGCCTGTCTTTCTGTCTTTGTATAATTTCCAAAGACTTATTCTTGAAAATCACCATACAATTCTTTATAGATATTCTACAAATATAGAATGAAAATAATTTAAATAGAACATGGATTTCCCAGTCATCTCTTTGTTTTACCTTTTTCATATAGTAAAAAATTATTTTATTTTTTACCCCATGCCTCTTTAATATATTGTGTTTGTCCAGTTTTAAATCACAGCCATGTTTATATATTGGATATAAGGATGATTTTTAATTTATGTACATGACATGTTTTCTTTGGACTTTTCAAATGCCTCAAATGAGGTTTATAACAATGAGGGTAAATACTGAAGTATTCTGAAACACAATGAGGATAAAATTGTGTTTTGCAATTTACTATAATCCTCAAACACACAGCCTGCCTCCAGGTCTCTATGACCTCCCCATGTGGAAATGATTACCAAGTGAATGTCATTCCACTTTTCAAAGATGGCTATTCTAGCATTTACAGACTTAAATGAACATGATATTTTCAGGACACTGCAAAGGAAACAATCGAGTTGTTTGAGTAATTTCTACAGGACATGAACAATTTAAGCAATATGATGAGTTTAAACTTTTAGAAATATTATATTAAAACTGTAGTTCCTTACATTTTAAAGTACAAACCATGTCTCATAGTCTTTCAGGATTATTATGCAAAAATATCTCCATCTATGCTTTATTGACTAGAGGTTTTTATTTGATAATATTACTATAATTGCTCCTTTGGACCTTACTTTCCATATTTTTATAATATTAAACTACATGACCCACATTTTTCCTATTTCTATCTCGAGCACTATAGAGCACGTGTCAATGAAAGTGTGGGTTGCGTCATTCTTGCTGCTGTTATTATTTATATTCACTGACCCTAACAAAGATTTACTATGTGCTAGGTTAGTCTACTTAAAAGTACATCAGCCTGTGCCATGAGAAAAATTCATTCCTAAAATACAGTCAGGTACTGAGCTATACTGAATCTTGAATAGTCAATAAAAAAAATAGCCATGAAATATACAGTTGAATGTGTACCGAATTATATGTCAGTTCTTTCAAATTTGTCAAAACAGTTCCCAAAATATTTTCAAAATCATGTTGGAGATTTTCTTTCAAAGATGTTTTTATTGATTTTAGGGTTTTTTTATGCTTGCTGTGGTCACTTGAAAATCGTGACTTTTTGAAGCAGCTTTATTTCAGGTATAACACATAACACATTGTTATTATTGCATGTTTTTTTAAAAGACAAATGATTGAGTTGATCATAAAAAGCAACTTTGTTTTCAAAAGTAATTCATGAACTATACAATTATTGCCTGACTACAGAAAAGATTCAGATTCTTACAAGTCGGTCTTCCCCCTCCCATTTTGAAGTTTTGAGTTATGACTATAATGAGCATTGCTTTGCTTCCCTGGAGCAATTGAAATCATCATGGATGGGTCAGTCTGACCTTGGTAAAATTCCTAACTCAAAGATATAAGAAGTATATACTTCCCCATGCAGGAGAAAATATCCTGGTGAAGAAGCAAATCCATCACTACAAAAGATCACTTCGTTCTAACTCAAAGGACAATTTTTGAATACTTGATTGCATTACCCTTTGTTCAGTTCTCATAATGAAATGCATCACTTCCATTTTTCCATATTAAAACAATCACTCTGACACAAGGTGATAAAGAACAGACACAATTTTCCAAGAAAATCTGGAATAAAGGTGATATGAGTGACATATTTGTTCCATGTATAATTTTTGACGTTCCAGATGACTTAACTAAAAAGACAAATGATGTTTTATAAAATCAAAATTAATGTGACAACCATGACCCATTCTTAATTAAGACAGTACCCAACCACACACTTAAGTAACCATGCCTCTCTTATCTCACCATATCCCACCCCTTGTTTCCTTAGCTAAGGGTGGTTGAATAGTAACAATGAAGACTTGAAAGCTTTTGTTGAAAGAAACCTTGCCAGTTCTTGCCCCTGGCCCATCATGAGACTTGTTTAAAGATAATAGTAAAAGAAAGTATATGCAAGTCTTTGAATTCATTTCCAAGACATTTGATATAGAAAGCATGTCAGTAAAAATAATAAATTCTGAAGACAGCATCTTCATGTAGTAATCATTGAAACTTGCTTCTAAAATGTGAATGTTTAACAGAACACTGGCTATTGGCAATACTCACATCTCACCGAAGCTTGACTGTATCATAGACTAAAGAAAACAAATGGTAAAATAGGATTTAAATCCATTTTTATTATCAAGCCGAGAGTTTTATAATTTTATGCTTTAATCTTAATTTTTTAGAGCAATCAAAGGATATATGGTCAAATTTGTGCTTTGCTATTGTGAAAAGAAATAAAATTAATCTGTCGCAGAGCAAGAACTAAGGCTATTTGTTACCTCATGCTACTTGTGAGGCTGCTAGATCTGAAGGAAGAATGAAATGAAATGAAATAAAATGAAAAAATTGCCAGCTTTGCATATTAAAAACAGCAGAGTGAGAGGAGCAAAGGCATGAAGAACCACAAATCAAAAGGAGTTATCATATACACATATCATATCATAGAAATGATTCAGAATCAAATGAAGCTAGTGATGGAGGAAGGTCATTGGTTAAATAAAAAGAAACTGCTTGGCCCTCGTTGGTTAGAAGATAGGTGGGAGGAGTAAACAGAACAGAATGCTGGGAGGAAGAGGAAGTGAGCTCAGACTCCACAGCTCTCCTCTCAGGGGCAGACGCCTCAGAGAGACGCCATGCTCCCCGCTCCTGGGAAGATGCACGCAATGAAGCTCTGACCCAGGATGGACTAGGCTAGAATCTTCCCGGTAAGACCGGTGCTACACAGATGATAAGAAATGGGCTAGTCCAGGTGCGAGAGTTAGCCTAGAAGAGGCTAGATAGATATGGGTCAAGCAGTGTTTAAGTGAATACAGTTTGTGTGTTGCTATTTCGGGCATAAGCTAGCCAAGCAGGCGGCCGGGGTGCTGGGAATGCAGCCCCGCCGCCCTTATTACTACAAGCTAGCGTCCCAGAAGGGACTGGTGATAGCCTGTTTCACAGACTGACAAATGCAGACATTCTTTGGGGATACCTTATTTTTAGTGTAGCATTAATCACCATTCTACCCAATGAGAACGAGCTCTTTATTATTCCATAATTACAGTCATTTTTTTATCATTTGAGTAGACCGTGTTTTTTTTCCCAGTGGACACATCAACAAAAATCAGTAATAAAGCAGTTCTTTAAAAGTAAGGTCCATTTATGTTTCTATTAGATTTATTAAAAATGACTTATAATTCCTTATATTTTTAAGCAGAAATGACAGGTTTTGACAAAACAGAAGTTAAAATTTTATCAGATTAAGCATTGATGTCTACAAAGAAAATTGAGATTTTTAGAGACATTTTCTTAAAACATATTTTAGTTTCCATTTAAACTGTGGCAAACCCCTCTAAAACAGGAGACACGGTTTAGAATGAAGTAATCGCATAACTCATTAGAGAGATCAAAAATCAATTTGCTCACTGTATAGTATCATTTTATTTTGGCAATATGTGGTGAGGGTCTTTGTTTCTCAGTAATAATTCTCAGAAATAAAAATTGCCTGCCTAAAACTGTTAAGATATATTGTCAAGGTCTTACCACAAATTCTATTGACAACAAGCAGTTCTGAATGCCTGAAGGTATGATATTCTGATATGTAGCATGAAGTATTGAGCTTGAGTAATATTAAACAGTATTTCATAAACAAAATGTTCACATAGACAAAGTAGTATATGTCTTCCATATACCTCTATTACAAAGATCCAAAGTATATTAACCATATTGGCTCACAGACAAAAGTGTGGAAAAGTGAAAGCAACAGTATTTATCGGACTAATCATCATAAAATGGGGGACATATCCCCAAACAACACAAATCAAAATCTGCTTGACCCTCCAATAAAAAACAGCCTTCACGATCAGTGCCAAATTAATATAAGTATTCAAAACAGTGATTTATGTCTTCTTGACAACAGCAATTTCATTTTGGAAGTTAGCCAATATTAATTTCAAGCCACAAATTTTTCAAACTGATACATGATCATATTAGTGCCACTCTTTATGATAAAAAGCAAATTGTGGTTCATTTGGGGTACAGCTCATAACTGTCCCTAAAGTTCTAGCAATAAAGGTCTAGCGATGATCTGAAAGCATTGACAAATACAGCTTCTCAGAGTCTGCTTATGCACAATTAAAACACCATGGTATTTTCATTAAAATGCTTAATAACCTTGCAGCTTAAAATAGAAAATATTCAAAAATAGTTTTAGATTCTTAGAGGCATAAAGGACCTGTGTTTATTTTGCACATCTTTTTAATGGGATGGATGCTTACCTAGGACACTCTGTGTTTCTATGAGTAAATGGTATTGACATTTAATTCTTAAAGAAATTCTTTACATTCATATAAAGTGATAAAGTGAGCTATCTTTATATCAGCCTTTGTCGAAAGCACACAGGGAAAATGTGTTACAAGGTTTTGTCGTTCTCTACACTAAGTATGAATGCTGGGCCATTTTATGATTGCCTGTATCATAGTATTTGAAACTAAACTTGACTGAACTTCTGGTATGATGACAAAGATTTTTTTCTACATGGGGTTTTTATGAACAAAAAAAAAGGAAGGGGTGGAGGGATGGATGGATGGAAGGAGGGAGGGAGGAAATTTGACTTAACAATATTACATTTTTAGTCATTTATTTACAGAGAACTAACTTCATCATATACCTGAATGTTAGCTGGATGAGGAAAAAAAGCACATTGGCAATCTTGCAATTGCCAGAAAGCTTCTCAAGCACTAGAAATGCTTTGCAAATGGACATTTATGCATGTTCCAGAAAAATTCTGGGTGTTACTTCAGGATAGTCTTTATTTCCTTTTGGTCAGTGGTTTCTCAACCTGTGGGTTGTGACCCTTTGAGTGTCAGATGACTTTCACAGGGGTCATCTGAGACCATTAGAAAGCACAGATGTTTACATTATGACTTATAACAGTAATGAAATTAGTTATGAAATAGCAATGAACATAATCATAAGGGTGGGATGCAGCACAACAAAAGGAACTGTATTAATCAGTTGCAACATTTTCAAGATTGAGAACAACTGTTTCAGGTGATAAAATACTATAATCATTCAACTTACTTCAGTTGGTATGTCTCCCCAACAGTTTATATCTATCAAATCTTAACCAGCTTGGAAAATCTATCCAAAGGACTTCCTACCTATCAGCTCCATATGCCATATTTCAGAAAACATGTATTTCTGTGATAACAAAAAATGGAGTTTCTGGCAAGAAAAGTTTTGATATTTTAATTACACTAACCCTTGTAATTTTGAATCCATTATGTATTGTGAATCCATTATAAGCTTTAAAGGCTTCTTATGAAAAAGTATACTATGTCTATAGAGAATTAATAAATATGCCGTTTGTCCTTTATTTTAATATGAGAATAGGAAGACAGAGGGACTAGCCAATAACTAGAAATAGAAAAAAAGGCTGCATACTTCAGTTCTTAACCTATTTTTTTACTGTGTAATTGCAGTTAATGTTCTTCTAGCCTGGCCAAGAATTGATATGCAACTCATAAACAATGTCTACAGGCCTCAGGTTCCAAAGTAAAGAAATTTAGAGCACAGGAAATAAAAACTGCAAAAAGCCATCCAATTCTAGTGCATGTAAGAAAAAATGACACAGATGAATATCAGATGCAGTCTGAATGCATTGTTCAGTATTTATCTCTATTACACGTTTTGTACAGTGATCACTGGAAAGGCAAGCCGAAGCATAACACTGACCTGGCCAGGATGACTGCTTTAAAATATATGACTTAAAGTGTTTTTTAAATTATTATTATATATGGGATTGACGGTTCTTATCATTTCATATCACACTCCTTTCTGATTTTCTTGCAGTGTATTTCTATAAATTATGTCTTTCCTGGGGGCCTTTCTCCACAATATATTTCATAATTGCCTTGTATAATATGAAATAAATACTCAAATAGTCATGGAATTTATTTAAAATATACCTAAAATGGGCACTTCAAGTTAATACAGCCATCCTAAAGGAAGTCATAAAATATGAATAAATTTAAAAAGATGTAGAAGGTGTTAATCTGAAGTTGCCTTGAAAGTGCGGAAGTGGAAGGAAAATCCTTCAAGACCCAAATTTAACCTCTCAGAAATAAAGGAAACATTAGGAAGAAACTTGAAGAAAGCAACAAGATCCATGTATATCCATGTTTTCAGATATAATCTTATTTCCCTTCTGCCCCGTGCAATCTTAACAGTAGCATCTCCACAAATACGAAGCACAATGTGGCTACTGAGAGAAAGAATGAAGTTGTGACTATCCGGAGTGGAGATAGGCTATGCCTTTTTTTTTTATTGAAAAGAACACCTGCAAACAAACAAGCAAACAAAAGAAAGGCAGCTTTTCACCCAGGGCAGAAGCCAACCTGTTGGCAGGAAAGACACAGAGTGGCGAAGAGAACTCTTTAGATAACACAAATAGACATAAGGTCTCTGAAGTACCATGGTAACAGGGTTTCCCACAACCCCAAGTGAAAACACACAATGCTAACAGTGATCACACAGAACTGCATGTCCAAGGTGTGTCTTCTCTCTCATGCTTACAACAACAAGCGTCTCTTCTGACTTTAAACTAGCAGGAGAGCTATCATGTTCTGTTCTCAGTTTGGTCAATAGCACTCTGTGTAGTTCACCTTAGGAAGCCCAATCCTTAGATGGCTTTAGTGTACATGGGAATTGCATGACAGAGATTTGCCCAATGTAATTCACTCACACTATGTACACATTAATTTTTAAATTACTTTGTTTTCCATTAATTCTATTCATACTGTGGTAAAATCATATTTCTTAAAACATACCTATTTTGTTTCACCAAAAACTCATCTCAGAAGAAGGAACCATGATAAAAAAATATCTTCCCTATAAAATAGGATTAACCAATACTGATGAGCAAAGGTACTTTTTTCTGTAACTATTTTACTGGTGAACATTTTGGTCTTTTTCTTTCCTTTATATTTCTTCTTTCTTTCTTTCTTTCTCTCTTTCCTTCCCACCATAGTCTCTATCTCGATCTTTCTTGTTTTCTATATTCTGTTGTTTCTCTATTTTTATATTCTTTTATAATCTTGGCCATTCTATAATTTACTGTGTAGACTAAGATGTCCTTGAATTTGTGGCAATTCTCCTGCCTCTGCCTCCTGTATGCTGGGATTATAAATGCATACCACCGTAACTGATGGAAAGTCTTGTTTCTATAAGAGATTGTACTACACTATAAAAAGTATTCAACTTAGAACAAATACAGTGACTAATAGAAAAAATTACCAAGGGAAAAATGCCAGATTAATTTGAAAATATAAAATTATACTTTCTGTTTTCCACGTGTGTCTTTCCACTGGGTCTATAAAATCTGAATGACCTAATAATAGGAGGAGCATGGATCTTACTGTACAAACTTTCTTAATTAACAAAGCTTGCACATTCTATAAGGAAATGGATGTGCAGTTAGAGGTGTTCAGATGGTAACATCTGAAGGACACCTAGTGGCCCTTTTAGATGTAGTGTAAATTTCATGTTGCTTTGAACTCCTGCTATTTAGTCACTTTTTTT